CGGCGGTGGACAAACCTCCCTTTAATACACCTCCCCTCAGTGAAAACGGCCTGGGACCGAAGCCGACGGACCTGGACCCGCAGAAACGACGGCCGCGGCGCCCTCTCGCGAATCGAAAACGGCCAACTCCTTAATCGACGTGTCAGGGCAGGAGGTCTGTCCCCCCCCGACACCTGTTGGGAGTGCACCCCTCCCTGGCGCACCCCGAAGCGTATCGGCAGGGCGAGCCGGGCGCTTCGCTGGAGGCTCCATCACCGTGCGTTATGCTGAAGCTTGGCCATATTTGTAACGGTTTCACGGATTAGAGGGCGAGTCGTTTTCAAGTGGTGGCTCTCGCCTGAGCCCCGCGTACATTCGTCTGAATGTGCGAGGGTTTCGCGGATGGAAGGCGGGTGGCTTTTATCATGTTGGTCTCGTGTTAACGCCGCGCACATTCCTGCTACAAGCTTGCAACCGCTAAAAACGGAATGCGGTAACTATCTTTTCAAAATGTGGCTCTCGCCTCAGCGCCGCGCACATTCGTTTTAACATCTGCAACAATATCACGATTCGTATGGTTGAAGCCTCAGGAACGGAATACTGGTACGACTTTGGATCGTTCAGACGCAACAGTCACATTCATTCGAGGCGTGAGGTCCAACAATCACTTTTACTCGCGGCGTTGCAGTCGCAAAACATGCGTTTTGACGCGATTGATGATTCTCAGACGGTTGCCTCCCAAGTGGGCACTTCCGCAATGAAGATGCATGCTCGTAAGGCCCTGTGAAGCGGGAACTTTGAGGGAAGGTTCATTGCAACATCGTTGATGCGTCTTGGGTTTGCTCTGGTCCTCCTCCGCGTCCCCCCTCCTCCTCCTCCTCCTCCTCTTCCTCCTCCTCTTCCTCCTCCTGCTCCTCCTCTTCCTCGTCCTCCTCCTCTTCTTCCTCGTCCTCGTCCTCGTCCTCCTCCTCCTCCTCTTCCTGCTCCTCCGCCCTCTCCTCTTCCTCCTCCTCCTCCTCCTCCTCCTCCTCCTCCTCCGCCCTCCCCTCCCTTCCATCCCTCAGGAGGGGGACGAGGGCGGCGGAGCAGCGGAGCCACCTTGTACACCGCGGCGTTGTAGCGGTCGCCGGGGATGTGGCTGATGCCCATCTGCCGGAGGTCCTGCGGGCAGCGGAGGGCGGCCGCCCGGGGGGCGCCCGGAGGCCCGGGGGCCCGGAGCGGATTCTCCGGAGGCCGAGCGCCCGACCGACGGTTCGAGCGGGGCGCGGGCGTGGCGACGGGAGTCCTCAGGAGGCCCCCAGCAACAGGAAGACGAGAGAGGAGGTGGAGGGGGCCGTGGGGGAGGGAGATGGGAAGGAGACAGGAAAGGGAGGAGGACAAGGAGGAGGAGGAGGAGGAGGAGGAGGAGGAGGAGGAGGAGGACAAGGAGGAGGAGGATGAGAAGGAGGAGGAGGAGCAGGAGGACGGGAAGGAAGAGGACGGCCGGGGGCTCCTGGGGAGTAGCGGCGGCTGGCTGCGTGATCATCGCCCCCGCACGAAAACAAAACCATGGCTGCCCATGTTGGACATAAGTTGGCAACTCTCTGTCGCCATCTGGTCAATGTTCGGGCCACGCCTACATCGCAGAGCGGGAGCGGGCTGGGAAGAGGCACGCCACTGTTTGACAACGCCCCGATTTGTGGCCGCCGCGATTACCACAGCGGGGCCTGTCCTCAAGTCCGTCCTGAGAGAGTCCAGGGGCTCGGATGAGGAGGCGAAGACATCATGAAAGCCGACGCCGCTGACCACCAACAGCGTGTCGACGACGGTGGCCGCGCATCACCGCCGCGGAGCACCCCGCAACTGCTGAGACCTCCGGAACTAAGCTACCATATGCGGCGTAGGCACATCCCTGTTCATCTCCTCGAGCGTCCGTTGCAGAATCGCTGCTTCAGCAATATCATGGCTCATCCACTTGCTTATCTCTTCATCCTTGCTCCGCTTTGGTATCCCCGTCATGTGCACACTCAGGAAACACGCTAGAGCAGCAAACGACTGTGAGCAGCAAGCAGCGGCATTGAAGACTGTCAGAACGTCAGGGACATGGTTCACCAGGTATCATCAAGTCGAGAGTGTGATGGCCAGGGAGCTGGCCTCCGCCATGCAAGACTCCATGAAGCTGACCTCCACGGCGCTGGGCTCGAGGATGCTGGTCTCCACGAAGGCGGTCTCTAGGGTGCTGGTCCCCGCGAGGCTGGGCACCAAGGATCTGGATACCAAAGAGGTGGGCTCCAGGATGCTGGTCTTCAAGAGGCCAGTGTCCAGGGTGCTGGTCTCCACGCTGTACGATGGAAACTCATGCCAAGAAACACCCTCCTTGCTTCCATGTTGCCCTGGGTTTCTTGAGCTTCGACGGTCTTGCTATGGAAAGCGTGGCGTCCCCATGCCAAAAACAGGATCCTGCACCCAAGCCCCGGTGAGTGCATCCCTGGCCGTACAGGATCCTGAAAGATCCGGAGATCTGACTGACCCCCGTTTGCATTGTCTCTTGAGCCCCGAAGGATGCTGATCTTCAAGATGCCCGTGTCCAGAGTGCTGAACTCCACGCTGCAAGTCTCCAACAAGGAGCTGAACTCCACGGCGCTGGGCTCCAGGTTGTCAGCCTCCACTGCGCTAGTCTCCGGGGGGTTGGTCTCCACGACGCCGCGCCTGTGCCCAGGGGGCATGTCACCAATGCGCTGGTCATCAGGGAGCTGGTCATCGGCCAGGGGTATCCAATCCTCAACTGTCGCGTCCACCGCGCGGCGGACGTTGTGCTTCTTGATTTTCGGTTGGCTGGCCACTACCAGCCAGTCGGAGCCCGTGGCTGCCATGCCCGACATAGGAAGCGAGGAGGCGATGCCAGCCGCGACGTGAGGAATACCACCAACGCCGACGAGCCCATCAACTGTGGGTTGTGTGGGAGACGGAGGCTGAATCTCCCGCACTCCACACAAGAGAATATGGGTCAGCAGCGTGCTCGCGCATGTTTGTTTCCAAAGGCCTCCATGGTGTCGTAGGGCACGAAGCTGGAGTGGAAGAACAAGTGGTGGACGAATGCCGATCGGCACCTGCAGTAGCACCCGGAGAATGGTCAGCAGTGTCATGCATGCCACCTTGAAGCAGCTGTAGCGCATCATTTACACCCAGAGCACCCCCGCCAGCCTCATGAACCAAATCCCGCCGTTCGCCGTGTTGCACTGCCTGAGGCTCAGTGGACTCCTCAGGGGCGACCACTCGATGCTGAGCAAGTAGGAGGGCGTAAACCTCAGGTGCAGATCGGCCTGCAGCGCGAGCATGCTATAGTGACGCGGGCATGGGCGGAGCCTCAGCAAAGTCACGCACTCGCAGGCTGAGGCGATCGCGTTGAGCAGCGGTTGATTCAAGAGACACTTCGGTCAAGCGGGAGGCGTCGCACGTTGCGCCGAGGGCGCAGTGCGGGTAGATTCGGCATGCCTGGTGCGCAGCAGCCCCTCCTGCGCGCGGAGCAACGAGAGCAGGGGCATCACGAAGAGCGGATGCCGGAGCTCCACGCTCGAAGTGACGGTGAACCTGAGCTCGCACGCCATGCACGGCACCACGAACGCGAGGTGCAATAACATTATGTCGGGCGTGTCCCCCTACAGGGATCCCCCAAAAATACACCAAAAATGTCAAAACATATTCAAGAAATAGTCCCCAGACTATTTTTGGAGTATTTTGGGGGTATTTATAATTTTTCCTTGAAAATCCCCCTGTAGGGGGACAGGCCCGACTTAACAATGACAGCAGGAACCCACGCGTGCTCGGCACCGCATGGCGCCGTCCGGAGGCATCCCCGTCGACGCGCACGGTCACGACGACCCACGCGCGCCTCGGCAGGCTCGCAGTGAGGCCTCACAGCCACCCAGGAGGCGGCAGCGCACACCCTGGCATGCCAGCGGAGGGGGAGCTCGTGTGAGGGGCTCCCGACCTGGCCCGACATGTACCCTCGGGCCAACCTGGCTGCGGCAGGTTCGTGTCGTGCCGACTTCGGCGCTGGTGTCTGACACCGCGGGGGATCGTTCAACCTGGAACGGTCGGCCGTTTCCGAAGCGCCCATATCGTTGCACATCGAACGGTTCTGGGTCGCCCGCGGCATTCAAAGTTGAATGCCGCTGGCGGGGTCGCCGCCAATCGACACGACACGAACCTACCGTACGGAGGGGGAGGAGGAGGAGGAGGAGGAGGAGGAGGAGGAGGAGGAGGAGGAGGAGGAGGAGGAGGAAGGCAGGGTGGAGGGTGGATAGAGGTGGGTGAGCAGGAAGATGAGGGTGAAAAGGGGAGGATGAGGAGGGAGGAGGAGGAATACAGATATGATGATGATGATGATGATGATGATGATGATGATGATGATGATGATGATGATGATGATGACGATGATGATGCTGATGATGCTGATGGTGATGATGCTGCTGCTGATGATGATGGTGAATATGATGATGATGCTGATGATGATTATGACGATGAGGATGCCGATGCTGATGATGATGCTGATGCTCATGCTTATGATTATGATTCTGATGCTGATGATGATGATGATGATGATCAGGAGGAGGAGGAGGAGAAGGAGGAGGGCACATCCAGCTCATCCAGAATGAGAGGCCCACTGCTAACGAAGTTCCAGAAGGCACTATCACCATGTATGTGTGCTACGAATGTGGCTTCGCGACAGAGCAGATCAGGACTTATAACATGCACATGGCTAGGCAACATAAAAACATGAGGGATCCGATGTGCTGGGCCGCGGGCACGGAGTGCCAGTGCTGCAGGAAACAATGGCATACCCCGAACCGCCTTCAGGTTCATGTAAGAAGGTCCCACAAATGCAGATTGGCATGGGACCAGGCAGGATACAAGGCTGGGGAGGAGGAGATGCAAGTCTGGAGGGATGCTGGGAGAGAGGTGCAGAAGAAGAATCGCAGCAAAGGTAAGAGTGATAATTGGGCAGAGTTCCCCCCAGTGCAGCTCTTTGGACCCTCGTTTTGTATAGAGGCTCACTTGGGGCCTCTGGAGCCTCCTTGCCTCCCTCCCGCTGTGTGCGTCCCCATCCCTAAACCTCGGCAGAAGCCAAACCCCACTGACCCAGGACCGAGCAAGGAAGGGTTGGAGCCAAGGTCTATCTTCTTGTGCCTGTACACGGGAAACAGGCACGACGGTGACTTTATTGAGTCACTTGAACGAGAATTGGCGAACAGTGGAAAAAGGGCCAGCATTCTCACCTTAGGGGATCAGGAAGAGTGGGGACAGCTTGCGCTGCCACACGTGCTACGCTTTTGGGCTCAGCTCATCCAGGACGGTTTTGTTGGGGGGCTTTGGGCTGAGCCCCCCAGAGGTACCTGGCAGGCTGAGGGGGCACGTACACGTTTGCCGCGGGACCCCAGCTCTCCTTGGGGAAGGACAGCCCTCCGTGAAGTAGAGTTCACTCCCGTACGGGAGGATAATCGCGCTCTTAGGGCGGTGCTCTGGTTGACGCACGCCTGTCGGGGCGCGCAAGTACCATTTGGCATCATGCATGTCCCGTGGGCCAACGAAGCCTCGCAACCCACCATTTGGGGACTTAAAGAGGTGAGCATGCTTGAGGGATGTAGAGTGGATTGCGAAGGGAGTAGCATTCTATTGTCTGGTGTGCAGGCTTCCATTCCTCTCGTGTCCACTCTCCCGCCTCTTGCTTGCGTGGCCCTGGAATTCGCCGCTCTCATCCAGTCATCCAATCACCGTGACCTTGCCCCCGAGCTCACTGAGCTGGAGCTCAAGCTGGACCCTTATGGTTTGGAACCTCTGGGGGATGAGGGTGATGAGGGGAACGTCCTGCCAGCTTAGGTGTGGTGCGGCCAGTTCTTTTAATCCCCTTTGCTGCCTCTGCTTGCTGCCCTCTCTCCACTTAATCCACTGTGATAGGCTGCGTGACTCAGAGGCCTTCATCGACCGACCGACCGACCGAGAAGGAGGAGGAGGAGCAGGAGGACGAGGAGGAGGAGGACGAGTTGGGGAGAACGAGGAAGGAGGACGAGAAGGGGGGCACAAGGATGATGATGATGATGATGATGATGATGATGATGATGATGATGATGATGATGATGATGAGCAGGAGGAGGAGGAGGAGGAGGAGGAGGAGGAGGAGGATCAGGAGGAGGAGGAGGAAGAACAGGAGGAGGAGGAGGAGGAGGAGCAAGAGGAGGAGGAAGAGGAGGAGGAGGAGGAGGAGCAGGACCCGGAGGAGGCATGGATGGCCTTGGCGGTGGTGGCCGTGACGTAGATGACCGGCATGGGGGCGAAGAGCTTCTTCGGCTCCGACTCATCCAGCAGCTGCTCCTGGGCGAGCGGGCCCGTGCAGGCGCGGGAGACGCGGAGAGGAGGGGGGAGGGAGAGGGGGGGTGGCACATAGACAGCCCAACAGTAGAGAGCAGGAGATCCGCCCTGATAATAATCACCCCGGCACGCGAAGCCGTCTCATAAAACACACCCAGACAAGGAAGCGAACAGGGCAAGGCTGTGCAATAAACGCCCAGGGCCGTTTAGCAAACGCCAATTATTGGGTCCGGGTGGATTTTCCTCCCTTTAAACAAAAGCTTCAGACTGTCCAAGAAGCCCCAAGACGGTCCAAGACGGCCCCAAGAGCGCCCCCAGAGGGGGAACTAGAACTGACAGCAGTTCGCGCCCTCCGCCCGAAGATTACCTCCGAGACCGCCAGCAATCCCCCCAGGGCCTCAGGAGGCCCCCAAGAGGCCCAAATCAGGCCGTCAGAGACCCTCAAAAGGCCCCTCCTCCTCCTCCTTCTCCTCCTCCTCAAGAGGCCCTCGCGACGCTCCATGATACCCTCAAAACCTACTCCAAGAGTGTTCCGAGAGGCCGCTCCAGAGATCCAGACAAGCATCCAAGAGGCCCCTGACCTATCCCCCCCTCTCCTCGCTGGGGATGACAATGACGACGGATGATGACGACGACGATGGCGATGGGGATGAACCCGATGGGGATGACGGTAGAAGTGATGTCACGATTTCTCTGATGATGTTATTGACGGCTGAGGGGATGATGACGGCGATGGTGTTTGTGATGGAGATGATGGTGATGACGGTGGTAAGGTTGACGCTGGAGATGATGATAACGATGGTGGTGATGCGACAGATTTATGGAAATACGCGCGCAACAGACATTCACAACGCGTGATACTTTCCGATCAGGGACGAACCCAGAGCGTTTCCAATCAGGGGTCTTCCTTCTTCCAACGCCATTCAAAACAGTGCTGAGCAATGCAGAACAATGCACTGCCAAGCATTGCACGGCATTGCGTGACATCGTTGCTTGGCAGTTCTTCACATTGCGTTCTATTTATTGGGATCGCTGCTGCAATTGCGTGGCCTTGCTTTGAATCGCTTGGCAGTGCTTTGCGTTGCTGGACATTGCTTCGCGTTGCTCGGCATTGCTGGCAGCGCATGCCGCTGTTTTGCATTGCTTTCCATTGCTGGCGGTGCTTGGCATTGCTTTGCGCTGCTGGGCATTGCTTGGTATTGTCTTGCGTTGCTTCGCGCTGCTCGGCGTTGCTCGCCACTGCTGGGCACCGCCTGACAATGCTTGGCATTGCTTGGCGTTGATTGGCATTTCTTGGCGTTGCTTGGCATTGCTCGGCAGTGCCAAGCATCGCCGAGGAACCCGAGGAGCCACGGGCCACGCCTGGGGCCGCCATTGCCGAGCACGTGTGAGGAACAGCGCCGAAACACCACCAAGAACGCCAAGGTGAAGGGCCCCGCACCCGCCTTTTCATCTCGCGAGTAACAGACCCTGAGGCAAAGCCTACTTAAAGAATACCTTTGTGAGCCTCCTCCTCTTCCACCTCCTCCTCCTCCTCCTCCTCCTCCTCCTCCTCCTCTCTCCTCTTGCCTCCTCGAGGAAAAACCCATAAAACTATCAAACAAGACGAATTCGGATCGGCGGCACAGGCCAGAGGCCTCTAAAAGAAGCCTGTAGGAGTCCTAGCTCAATGGCATAAGCCCTGAGGGTTTCATACGTTTCTGAACACCTCTATGTCGAAGTGCTAAGAAAACCAATGGTGTTGAAACAGGACTTCGGCGACCACTCGTGCGCGAACTGTCTTGTTTGGACAAACCTGGCGGGAATGCGTTGGTTGCTGCACGCTTCCGGCATGCGCGGGCGCGTGCGGCCCGCATGCCCTTGCTTGACAAAACGGGCACCACCTAATGGTGTGCATATGGCTTCAACGAGTGTGCGCGCGGGCGCAGAGCTTGTTTGCATTTTCGGTTGGAACGGAATTGGGTTTTCATCTGTGTTGGAACAGCTTTCTCTCTCTCTCTCTCTCTCTCTCTCGAGAGAGAGAGAGAGAGAGAGACGGTGCGACCTCCACTGGCTTTGGAAGGGTTTCGACATTCGCGCGTGGCGGGGCGCGCATGTGGCACGCATGGTATTGTTTGAAAGGGGTTCCTAAACAGAGCACTTGTTAGGGCAACGCGTGGACACTATAATTTGTATGATTTGACAGGGGTGTTTGGGAAAGGGTCGATACTGGCCTGGTTGGTATGGCATAACTTGAACAAAACAGCACGCGGAGGGGGACCGAGAAGTCCGGCCGCGGAATGGGGGTGCAGCCTATTTCTTGTTAGGAGCAGGAGCCTACGGCAGGTTCGTGTCGTGACGGTCTGCGCTGTGCTTTCCGACACCACGCGGCCTCGGGTGCTTGCGGCGGGGTCGCGGCAAATCGACACGACGCGAACCTGCCGTATGTGATTGGGTCCATGTGCCGGTGCCAAGACAAAAGTGTCCACACCCATGGCGGCAAGGCGATGCAACATGGCAACAACCACGACTGCGACATACCCTCGCTTCGTGCCCCTCCCCGCAGGCCCGAAGCTGAAGTGCCCACACGTTGTCCCTGGCCTTTGGCCTGCCGCCCAGGCCCGTCCACTTTGAATCTTGGGGGAAGGGGGGGGTCTACATTTTGGCCCGACGTGCTCTGATAACTCAACCTCCTCCTCCACTCCTCCTCCTCCTCCTCCTCCTCCTCCTCCTCCTACTTCCCCCTCCTCCTCCTCGTCCTCCTCCTCCTCCTCCTCCTCCTCCTCCTCCTCCTCCTCCTCCTGCTCCTCCCCCTCCTCCTCCTCATCCTCCTCCTCTTCCTCCTCCTCTTCCTCTTCCTCCTCCTCCTCCTCCTCAAAGTCTTGGCGAGACACGTGTGCACACTTCTGGCCCACACCACCAGCGCATGCTGAGGCGTTGGCCCGCGCAAGAGGCGGCGACGACACGGCGACGGGCGGGCTCTGGGCGACAGCTCGGCTCGCCCGGCCTGACACGAGCCGGCGGCGAGAGCGAGGGGGGGAAGCGAGAAGGAAGCGTGAAACCCTCAGGGCTTATGCCATTGAGCTGGGACTCCTGCAGGCTTCTTGCAGAGGCCTCTGGCCTGTGCCGCCGATGCGGGACGCTCCGTGCGAAGTCGTCCTGTGTCATAATTCACGAGTTTTACCTCGAGGAGGCAAGAGTCAGCGGCGAGCGAGGGGGGGAAGCGAGAAGGAGAATGCCTTCTCAGAAGGCGGCGGGACTTCTCGGAAGCCCTAGCGCCTTCCGAAACGTTTGCTGCGTGTCTTCTGGGAAGGCGTAGAACACTTCTCAGAAGGCCAGGGAACTTCCGAGCCTTCTGGGAAGGCCCTCTCCTTCTCACTTCCTCCCTCCCGCTCGCCACCGAGAGGCGCGGGCCGGCGCAAGACCCAGACCCCCGACGTCGTGTTTTTTCTTTTTTGCACAACTTCGACCCCCAGAGGTCTGAACCCCTTCCCCGGGACCGGTTTCTCGTCCTGAGCCGTTTTTCGACGGTCCCGGGGCCCAGCGAAGGCCCCTGGAGGCCGAAACTAGCGGAATACCCTTCCGTCGTGATTTGTTCGCAACGCAAAGGGGTCTGGGTCTGGGCGAAGGTTCGGCACGCCGGGCCAGGCACGAACGCAAAACGGCGAAGCGGCGACGGGGCGGGCACCGCAAGCTAACGGCGACGAGGCGGCGACGAGGCGGCCAGCGACGGTGGGGCACCGGGCAGGAACGGCCAGAACACCCAGCCAAGGTGCGCAGATGCCAGAGCAAGAGCCCCTCCGAGGCAGCACCGTGTGTGCAGTATGTGTATGTGTAAGCATGTAGCTTTTGAAGATTTACCGGGGGGACGAGAGAGAGAGAGAGAGAGCAAGAGAGAGAGAGATATACTATATATAGAGAGATACAGAAGAGAGAGAGAGAGAGAGAGAGAGAGAGAACAAACAACGAGAGCGAGAGAGAGAGAGAGAACAAAAAAAAGAGTGTGGCTTAGACTGTGAGGGAGGGAAGGAGGAAGAGACACAGAGAGCATGTATGAGCATGGACGGGGAAGAGGCTCGCAAAGCTGAAAAGAGAGAGAGAGAGAGAGAGTGTTGAGACTGTCAGGGGGAAGGATGAAGAGACATGGAGAAGATGTAGGTGCATAGATGGGGGAAGATGCTCGCAAAGCTGGAGTTCGCAACTGAAGGGGTGTGAGCAGCGGTCCATGCCGTGTAGGCTAAGGCTGTTAGGCTAGATCACCGAATGTGACAGAGCTTAGCGAGGCCAGACGCAGAACACGACGTGAGGAGCGAGAAGCACATCGAACCGACAAGCACATCACAACGATGAGTTCCGATCAACAGGCAACGGCGACCGAGAGTCAAATTGATGCATCTTCCCTGAGGGAACGCATGGCAAATCAGGGTAGGAAGCACTGAAGTTATAGGGCGAGTCCAACAGCAAAACACCCTGGCGGTTTGACACACTGCTCTCGCTGGCCCAACGCCTGATCGCCTGTCCGAAAGATCTCGTGTGGACCACGCTATCAGGGAATACCAATTAAACTTTTGGCGGCCACGACCGCGGGTGGGGCGGATGAACAGCGTACTACCTGTTGAAATTTGCCTGTTCGTTGGGCGCTGGTTAGTTGGATCTACCGAGCGCGACTGTGGCACATGAGGCTCTACGACGCTCTGTTTATGTTGAAACGCATGGATGTACCACATGCGACCAGTAGCCCCAAATTGACACTGCACCAGGTGGCTTCGGAGTGGCTGGACCGAAGGTGACTTTCGCAATGATGGCTTCATTGCGGATTGCTGTAATGACAAGTACATACCTACACTCACCCTAGCTGTGGCACGACTGTGCCAAAAAGGTAACTGTGGCAATGCTTGTTCTTACGGGTGCTGTGCAACATGTGGCTGCAGCGCACGTGATGTGACAAGTGTGCCGAAGGCGGCAGTAGCACAATATTGTCATACTCAAGAACATGCCTAAACCTCCGTCGTTGGTATTGATTATGTCTCCCTCTCTCTCTCGCTGTCTCTCTGTCGCCTCTCTGTCTCTCTCTCTCTCTCTCTGTCTCTCCCTGTCGTTCTCTGTCTCTCTCTCTCTCTCTCTCTCTCCCTCTTCGTCTCTCTCTCTCTCTCTCGCTATCGTGTAACCATACGTACATATTGCAGGGTCAGCGTCCGTACACCTTTCTGCACGGCTCGAGTAGGACGGGGAATGTAACTGGCACTGCCGAGAGAGCACCTTGTGCAGGGAATGCGGCCAGCTCCGAGGCGAGAGCCCCACTCGCCGCCCAGAACGTGGCAGGCGCTGGGGCGAGAGCAGTGGTCAAGACCGTGGCTGTTCGGCCAATGACGTGGCCAATTAGCGCCAGCGCGTGGCGTGAGCACGACTCTAAGCCAAAAGGGCGGCTGGCCATGAAAGCGGCAAGGATAACAACAAACCTACTTGCTGACTTGTTCTTAGCCGGGGGGGCAGGCGTCTCGCAGACGCCTCCTCCTCCTCCTCCTCCTCCCCCTCCTCCTCCTCCTCCTCCTCCTCCTCCTCCTCCTCCTCCTCCTCCTCCTCCTCCTCCGGGGAAACGCCAACGGGGAGGCATAATTAACGCGGGACGGCAGACGCGCAGACTGGAGACGTTGCCGTCCCTGCTGCCTCCCCATGGGGCGCCGACGGGGCACGGGCTGCTGAGAGGCAGGGAGGGCAGATGCCCTGCAAAGGGTTTGCAATCGCGCGCAGGAAGATCGGGGCCAGCCAGGAGGGGGGCGTCCAAGAGGGGGGGGCGCAACTCATGGCCGGCGGCATTTGCGCGGCCCAGGGGGGGGCCAGGGACGTGATGAAATAAGAGGAGAGGCGCCATGAAACCTGGGGAGATATCATGCCCCCCGCCACGAGATCCACACACCCCTGGTCCTCAACCCCCTCTTGGCCGCCCCCGAAAAGAGCAGCACAGCACGGGTCCGCGCGGTTCCAGCGGCCCCCCTCCATGAAGAGGCCGTGGATGTTCTGGCCCTCCTCGGGCACCTCCTGCGTGCCGCCCGGCGTCGCCGCTCGCCTGCCTGCTGTGACTGGCTTTCCACCGACCTGGCATGATGTTTCCGTCGTTCCGTCCTCCAGGACCAACGGTGAACGTTTTCGTATTCGGCGTTTCGACATTGGGCGGAAAGGGGGGAGGGGAGGGCGGACCTCTACTAAGTGCGACTGTTTGCAACAACAGTGCGTCCTATGGGGGAGGCTCAACCTGCTCGAATCATGCGCTAAAAAGCCGGCAAGATCTACTCCATTGGGGGGGAGAGGGGGAGGGGGCGAGGGCCCGCGCCGATCGGCAAAACAAGGAATATAAAACACTATCACATACCGGAACATCCTTGTTCGTCCTGACCGCGCTCTTCAGACCACGAGCAAGCTAGACGCTCCATTGTTTCAACGCTCTCTGAAAGTGGGCGCGGCTAGGAACAAGACATCGAACACCCTAGCTTCCGACGACAACTAGTTCCTCCATGTTTTGGGAACTGCATTTGTCGACGCCAAGGTGTGCATCAATTTCACGCCGTATGGCTCTGTGTGCGCCTCGGGCCCAAACGCGTGCTTCGGGAAGCCAAGAATCAAAACAGCCAGCCGTCCTTGCTTCTCGCGACAACGCTGACGCTCTGCGAGACTTGGCCGAACCGACGAATGTCCGCGGCACCAATGCAAACAAAAAGAGGCCGTGCCACCCCGCTTCTTCTGTCATCCCGCGCGCCAGCTTCTGACCGGTCACTGCGCTGACCCGCTGAGAAGTGGGCAGAGGAGGGGGAGGAGGAGGAGGAGGAGAAGGAGGAGGAGGAGGAGGAGGAAGAGGAGGAGGAGGAGGAGGAGGAGGAGGAGGAGGAGGAGGAGGGAGGAGGAGGAGGGAGGAGGAGGAGGAGGAGGAGGAGGAGGAGGAGGAGGAGGAGGAGGAGGAGGAGGAGGAGATGGCACAGCAGAGCACAGCGGGCAGCGGTGGGAGCATGAGGGCCATCTGGATCGGCAGAGTAGAAGGGCAGGGAGGGAGGAGGATGCTGACGACGAGCAGGAGGATGAGGAGAAGGCGGAGCAGAAGGAGAGATGATGACGATGCGTAGGTAGGGCAAGGTGGCCAGCGCCACGCATGTCGTAGAACTGATGGCAGTCTCTCATCAACTGTATAACGTGTCAGAGAAGCTTCATCACCCTGTGGGGCCACTGTCGACCTCACACCAACCTTGCCCATGCCAAGTCTGCGAGCGACTAGACGGAGCCGTGCAGAACGCGAAGCGTTCAGGCAGTAGTTATTACAAGGAGTCGTAGGAGGAAGATGTGGATACAAGGCGGATGCAGAAGTGGAGCAGCGATGCAGCAACGGTAGGAGCATGAAGGTCATGAGGATCATGCGGATGAGGAGAGTCTCGGGAAAAGGAGGGGGACGAGTACTCCTGAGGCATTTTGACAAACGCCTGCGAATCTTCATGGGACGAGGCCAGGGTCCCGCGAGGGTGCGTGAAACTACGGCTTAACACATACTGCGACCCAACACTCGCTTGCTGTCTGCAAGGGGACGATCAGTCACTGTCGTCATGCCGCCCAGGGCACGGATCCATATAAGGACAGGTGAAAGAACACCTTCTGGCACGAGACAGGGCTTGCCACTATCGGGCCGGACGCGAGGGGCGCGCCACCCGAGCCGCCATCGCTACTTGTTGCATCCGCCATAGAAGCCGCGACAGAGCAAGCCGATGTCCTAATCCGCAGACTCCGCCAGGGGGCATCGGCACCCTCCAACAAGGGCCGACCACTCCTGGCATCTGGGCGTGGACGCTGCGTCGAAGCCGGCATCGCCGTGAGATGGCGCCGTTCAGTCTGGAGTAGCGCCAGCACTGGAGGGCTAACAAAAGCAATGCCCTAGAACATCTGGTGCTCTTGCCAATCCCCGTCAAGGCAGACCACCGTCCCACATCTCCGACGTCGTTTCCCACCCGACAGGTTGGGGTTGTCACACCTAGAACACCATGCATAACGCGCCCGCCAGGCCCAAAGTGTGCTGGAACGACGAGGGGAGGGGGTGCATGCCAATATGACGACATTGAGTGCATTATGAACTACAACGGGCGCGAAATGAGAGCAGGATGGAGGAGGTGCGTGAGAGGAGGGGAAGAAGGAGCCCTGGTATGAGTGATTCAGGAACAAAAGCAGGATAATGGCCTGGAGGAGGACGACTATGAAGAGGACCAGGAAGACATGGACAAGGATGTCGGGGAAAACGAGGAGGACGATAACGAGTGGGAGATTAGTGGGAGGGTGATGGAAATGATGACGTCAACAGCGGGCGACCCGCTCTGTGGCGCGGGAAAGAGGGAATGGGAGAGGGGAACGGTAGGTGGACGAGTAGAGGGGGGTGACGAGCAGATAATGGATTTGTGCAGTGCAGGGTACGTAGGTCCCCTCCCCCACCTCTCCCCTCTCTCTCTCTCTCTCTCTCCCTTCCCCCCCCATCCCTCCCCCCCCCTCCTCCTCCTCCTTCTCCTCCTTCTCCTTCTCCTTCTCCTCCTCCTCTCACCATCCCTCCTCCTCTTCTTCCTCCCCCACTCCATGCTGGAAGAGGAATGGCACCATGAGCAGTCCTTGACGCGCTCCGCGTCCACGTTTTCCACCCTCGTGTGGTTGACGACGTCATCCAACGCCCACTGGTCCTCCCAAGGCGCACGTGCAGCTATGGTGCTAACCCGGGGAACGCCGAATAAGGTGCGGAAAGACCTTTCTGGCCACGGCGGCCCTCGGATTCAAAGAGGTCCCCAGAGCCAGATCAAAAAGAAACCGCCCGAGACTCAGGGCTACTGACGAGCCCGAAGTGGTTCTTCTGTCGGCGCCTCGGCGGTGCAAAAGGGGGCCAGTGGGCCGCCCGCGCGCTCCTTCGCGGTCGCCCTCGTTTTCCCCGGTGTTTTGTTAGTGATTTCTCCCTCCCTCTCTCTCCTTGCATATACTCATGTTTATATATGTGTATGTGTATATACATGCATACATGCATACATACATGTTTGCATACATGCATACTCAGGACATAAATACTACTAGACCACGTGTGCTCAAACCAAACTGTTTATAGCAATCTAGGCTGCGCGCTATACAAACATAGATCTACATACCTATACACATCTGTACATGCATGGAACAATCTATGTGTGGTGCAACATACACCCTGCATTATAGATGTTGTGACTTTTACGATGCGCAATAGATGTGGTAAATTCTAAGTGGCGCAACCTATGCGGTGCAATCTGTGGTGTGCAAAAAATGGAATGTAACCTGTGTCGAACAGTCGGTGTGGACCACTACCCGTCGGTCGGAAGAAGTAAGTCGAAACACGAAGTAGGAAGGCGTTGGAAGTAGAGTGGGTCTCCGCCCGCCCGCCGAAGAGGAAGGAAGAGAAGAAGCCACTCGATCATTGAAGTAGGCAGGCGCTTAAAACAAATTGGAATATGGGGCTCCAAAAAATACCTATATTCAACGACCGATGCGTCTATGTGACGGAATCTACGTGACAATTTATGGTGTTCGATATTTGTGGTGCGGTATCTGTTGTACACCCTATGTGATGCACTCTATGATGCGCAACATATGGGGTGTGATCGTGACGCGACCTATGCGGTGCAGTCATGTTGTGGCACGTGGTGCAGTCTATGTGGTGCATACTAGGTTGTGCAATCCATGTGGGCCCATGTATATTGTGCAGTAGACTTGATGCAATATGGGTTGCGCACTCTACGGAGTGCAATCATTGTTGTGCAATATATGTGGTGCAATTGGTTTTTACAAATGCCTTGACACATTCCATGCCCTTGCAAACATCTACCCACCAACACGCAATTTGGCTTGCAAAACCCATACGGCGGCGACTGCGATGAGTGCTTGGCGTTGGATGGTGCATCTCTGCGGCCGCGCTAGCCCGCGCATGCTCGCTCACCACTTCCAGCTAGCTTGGCGCGACCGACGCGGCCGCGGTGGCGCTGACCGCAGGCCACTTCCCAGCGGGCACTTCTGTGCGAGTCGGTGACGTGGGCGGGGGCGGTATCGTGGCGACGCCGACAACGATAAACATGATTCTGACTGTAGCGATGATGGTGACGATGGTGGCGATGACGCCAGCAAGGCAAATGACGGCGCCGATGATGATCACGCCCGCCGATGACGATGACGATGCCCTCGCGCCAGCAATCAAGGTTCCTGAAAGAGTTCGTGGTCCGCTTGACGCGGATCGTGCCCACCCCCCAGCACGCGCGCAAGGGCGTTCGAGAGGCCCGTTTGGCAGAATTTGATGAACATGTTGGACAACCCAGAGCGCAGGATTTTTTCGAAAAACAAGCAGGTGCTGGACAACCATGTGCTTTGATTTGTTTTCGGGACGCTTGTTTTTGAAATCCTTACGGAACCTAGGTTGTTTGAAGGATTTCGGCGTGCGCGCGCGACGACGCGCGCGTGTGCTCTTCACCCCTTTGTTGCAATGGATTCGTGCGACAGCATGCGCAAGGGCGTTCGAACGATTTTGACAATTTCGACATGCGCGCGCGAAGAGGCCCGTTTGGTAGCAACTTGCGACATTGTTAGAATAACCTACGGTTTTTCTGGGGAATTCGAAACAAAGTCCGAACGCATGTTTTGTTGTTTGAAAAGTCTTGTCGCGAAACCATATGTTTGTTTCTATGTTTCGGGGCACTCGACTTTGAAATTCTTAAGACCCCGAAGGTTTTTGACAGATTTCAGCGCTCGCGCGCGACGACGCGCGCGTGTGCACTTCGTCCCAGCTTTTGCAAGGGATTCTTGCCACCATATGTTATTTGATAAACGAGTTTGCGCGCATAGTGTGTGTGCGTGTGTGTGTGTGTGTGTGTTTGCAACAAATGATAGGGGGAACCGACACCGGCCTGCCTGGGATGGTATGGATTTATACTTCGGATGGACGATGGGGCATAATCGTATGTACATTACAATACGAAGGGTGGCCTGTTAACCCAAGGGGGGGGGGTAGATCCAAATATTCGGTTAGAACGGAACATCTATATTGTGCAATCTACGTGGAGCAACCCACGTAGTGCAAAGCGACGGGGCGGCGAAGGGGTGGCGACGGCGACATGGCCGCCAGACCGCCACCCATGCTCAGACGACGGGCGGCGACGAGGCGGCGACGGGGCGGTGGCGACAGCATAGCCGCCAGACCGCCACCCATGCTCAGCTCCGTGGAAACGAAATAAGACTCCCTAATTTTGTGTAAGCACAGTTTGGGAAGTCTCTCTCTCTCTCTCTCTCTCTCTCTCTCTCCTCTCTCTCCTCTCTTCCACACACACACACTTTTTCACTCAATGTGTGTGTGTGTGTGTGTACCCGAAGCCCTGGCGCGGCCCGCTGGCTGCCCGAACGCACTGAGCGCTCGGCCTCGACCGTCAACAAAAAGGGTGCGTGGGGGTGGGGGGGAGAAGCACGAACTCCGCGAGGAACCCAGGAGGGTCAGGGTTTCGGATGTCGGGTGAGGTCCGCCGAGCTGCAGAGGGCTGCTGAAAGAAGGAACGCTAACAAAAAGAATGACGCCCCTTTTTTGGCACGTGACGTGCTTGGGTGCACGATGGGGGCTCGAGGAACAACCACGGAATGACCTAAGGAACGGCGAGCCGCGAGCCCCTTCCGAATCCCAAACGGCCCTTATTTCAGCGTCTTGGCTGTATGAGGCGGCCGATGAGGGCGCAGGGATGAGAAAGATGAGGCGAACGTCCTGAGAGGTCCAGTCAGACTTCCAGGCAAGCGCTACGAAGTCCTGCAAATCTCAGGGATCTCAGGGGGTCCCAGACGGGAGCGGGGAGTCGGAGGAGGAATAAGAACAGCTGAGCGGGTCGTAAGGCCAATCCCCAGACTGCAACCTCTGAGGGCGGAATCTCCTGCACACTCGGGAACCCCACACGAGCTGGAGGATGAGGACGACGACCACGAGGACACAAACACAGAGGGGGGAACGAACGACGAAGCGGCAAGGGACGAATAACAACAACAGAAGAGACAACGGGAAGAGCAACAATAATGACGGACGGACTGAGATAATAAACGGGGGGGGTGGGGGGAAGGGAGGGAGGGTTGGAGAGTGCATGGCGATAGTGGAGATGGGTTTCGCGGGGCGGATGGCGTGATAAGGGAGGGGGGGAATGTGAAAGGTATGGGCGAGGGGGGGTGGGGGGAAGGAGGGGGAGGAGCAGGAGGCGTGGGAGGAGGAACCACGGATGGGGAACGGGGAGGAGGACGGGTGGAGGTGGGAAAGCTGGAGGAGAAAGAGGAGAAACAAAAACACGACAATGAAGTATTGAGGTGGACGGTGATGTGGAGGGAAATGAGGGAAGCTGACGATGTATTGAGGTGGACGACTGAAGGGGTATAGGATATGGAGGGCAAGTGCATGATGAGGAGGGTTATAAGCGGCGAACTTACTGGCCCTTCCTGCCAGTTCCAGTTCCAGGGGAGTATGAAGCAAGAAGGACGAGGAGGACACCATACCGATGATGAGTGGAGATGAAGATGATGAGGAGTGGGAGGAATAGGAGAGGGATGATAATCAGGAGTCGAGTTTACAAAACAACGAGGAGGAAGAGGATGGTCATAGCCACGAGGAGGAATATAATGCGAACAAGAGAGAAGCAGCGCGGGAACGATGTGAATAGACGATCGTGGAAAGGGGAATCTGATAAGGATGATCAGGCGCAAGGAACAAACTTCATAGACATAAGAAACAAAAGACGGTGCGGAACGGAACGGAAGCGCTGGGGACGATCCCAAGCTCCGAAAGCGAAAACCTGTCCTAGCAGACTCGCAACACATACACTCGTCCCTGCGACTGACAGGAGGAGGATGATAAGGAGAAGCCAGGTGCCCCCTAGTCTCCCGCAAGGGAACGAAGAGGGTGAGAGGGAGGGGCATGGGAAGGAGGGGTGGCGGCATCCTTCTTGTGCTGCCTGGTCACCTCTTGCCGCATGCCGGTGAGAAAGCCTGGGACCAAGCGCGATTCCACTGCGTCGCCGTCATGGTACTATACGTCTTCGTCCTCAGCCTCTTACACATCCTGCTCTCCTTGGGCGTCACTTCCTTTCTTCCTCCAATGTTGCTTTCTCACCGCGCGCGCCTCTGCTCACCATGCTCCTCCAACACATACCATACCTCCAACATATTGCCATTCTCTGCTTGCCGCTCTGCTGCGGTCACGGCTTCAATGCCCAAGGTATTTCTGGAGCACATGCAGGGCGCGCTCGCAGCCCACAAGGCTGGCGATGGTAGAGGTGGCGTGGTGCGATGGTGATCAACTGACGAGGGGCCTGCCCAAAATCTCGTGGCTGGCGCCCTCCCTCACGCCTTCCCCCCCCGGGCTCCCGACTTCCGAGGCCCTCCGAGAAGGCTCTCGAAGGCTCTGAGGGGCCTCTGAGGGCCTCTGGGGGGGCCTCCAACGACGTCCGAGGGGCTTCCGAGGGGCCTCCCAGGGGCGGCTCCGCGCGCGCGCGCGGGCGGGGAGAGCCCTGGGCGTTGGTGAAGCCGGTCAGCCAGTGGGACCTCGGCGGGCCCGGCCGGAGCGGCTTTCGCCCAGCCCGCCCCCTCCTGACTGACCTACCAGACTACCCCAACCCAACCCGAAGACCCGAATTTCGGGTTGGGGGGGGGGGGGACGGGTTCCATCCGTGTTTTCCCCATGTTCCCCGACCTCCCCCCCCCAACTGGAAGTGGAGGGCAGGTCGGGGTCTTTCGGATCGGGTCGGCGTGGCCTGGTGGGCGGTGGCCTCCCTCACGGTCGAGCTGCTACCGCGCAAAGGCAGCAGGAGGCCGAACGAGGAACGGACCCACCTTTTTGGCCCTAGAGCCTCGTGGGTGCACGAGGAGCACCGGAGGAGCCACCGCCCCAAAAATCTGCGAGGTGTCGATGCTCTCATGGCGTGCCTCGTGGGGGTCTAGGCCCCTTCCTCGGGAGCGGTACCTCGACCCGACGCGCTGCTCTTCACGGCCCCAGGCCCCAACAGGGGCCCCCGGAGAGCGAACATCGTCAAGAACCGTCCATCCTGTTTTGCACTACGTTCGGCCCGCATCATAAGGGCCTGGGACGCCCATCTCGAGGCTTCTCGAGAGCGGGGCGCGGCCAACGAAAGCGGCCAAGGCTGGGCCGAGGAGGCAAGGCTGCAAGGGGTACCCTTGGGAAGGCTGCCCATCCTTACTGTGCGGGTTGACTGCACCCTGAGATCCGACGACACTGCGAATCAAAATGCAACATCGCGACAAATCACGACCGGAGCCCTGGACCCCATCTCATTCTTCCGCTTTCTTCGAGCCCGATCGATCTGCGATGATCCCCGGGCCCGGCACCGGGCGACCACGCCCGGCGTGAACAGGGTGCAACGCCCGGAGCTGAGGGGAGGAGCAGCCGTGGACGGGCCCGAGGAGCCCCGGCCTCCTCCCAGCCAGGGCTGCTCCTCGGCTCCGGGGCCTCGGGCCCCGGCTCGCCTCCGATCCGAGTGCACAGACGGGGTCAGGAGATCGCGCCGCATCGCCGATGCATCGGCGATGCATCAGCGAGGCGCCAGCGATGCGTGGACGTCGGCGAGGCAGCGGCGACGCCCGCGCGGAGAAGATCGGGCTGCACACCGAGCCGCAACGGAGGCCTCGACTCGGGTCGGGCATGTCCGCCATCAGGCGGGTTGTAGAGGAAATATGTTTGATCAAGTCAGAGCATATTTAAAAGTAGGCAAATCTGTTGCTTAAGCCAAAATATCGTCCCTTTCTTATTCAAGAACATGTGTAACTATACATCTATGCATGCGTGTATGTCTGTCTGTCTGTCTGTCTGTATGTACGCATGCATGTACGTATGTATGTCTGTCTGTCTGTCTGTCTGTCTGTCTGTCTGTCTGTCTGTCTGTCTGTCTGTCTGTCTGTAGGTAGGTAGGTAGGTAGGTAGGTAGGTAGGTAGGTCAGTAGGTAGGTAGGTAGGTCGGTCGGTCGGTCGGTCGGTCGGTCGGTCGGTAGGTAGGTAGGTCGGTCGGTAGGTAGGTAGATAGGTAGGTAGGTAGGTAGGTATATGTGCATTTATATATATATATAAAATATGTGTGCATATATATATATATATATATATATATATATGTAAAGTTTATTCCTGCAAGTGGACGTGCCCGACTGAAGCATGGGCTTGGGCCCTGGCTCGCCTGGGCTCTCCGCGAGCCCCCGGCGCGGGGTGGGGTCGGCTCGCACTGCGCGAGGAGATGGCGCGCGTGAGGAGCGCCACGCCGCTGGGCGCCCGCCGCTGGGGGGGAACGAAAGGGGGGGTTAGCAAAGGGTAGGGTAGAGACTCAGCTCACGTAGCTGATTTTCCCAGCGCCTCCTGGTGCCGGGAGGCGCCCATGTATCGAGGAACGGGCCCGGCGGCGGGGCCGAAAGCAGCTGCATGCAGCAGATTTCGTACCCCCCCCCCTTCCCTATCCCCCCTTTCGTTCGGCCCGAGCCGCTGGGGGGGTGCCGCGGTGGCGGCGCGTGCTTCTGCCGAGGTCGGGGGTTGAAGATCGGGGATCGAGGGCCGAGGATAGATCGGGGGCGCGCAAACATGGACTAGCGATCCATGGATTTGGCGCGCGGTCGCCAAATCCATGGATCGGGGGAGGTGCCCCCCCCAAAGTGCGGCCAGTGCCGCCTCGCTCGGCGGCGGAAGTCCGCGATTTCCCATGGAGACGGGGCCCGTCGCTGGTCCACGCCCCCTTGATCAATGTTTGCGATCGCCTGAGGGGTGCCGCGGTGGCGGCGCGTCCTGCTGCCGAGGCCAGGGGGTTGAAGATCGATCCTCGAGGATCGAGGGCCGAGGGTAGAGGGCCGATGCGCCGCTGGTCGGGCCTCCCTCGGACCTCCCCGAGTCTCATCGTCTGTCGCTTGCTCGCTTCACCCCCCGCCCCTCCCCCCGCCCCCCTACAGTCGGCCCGTATCAAAAGGACCCGCGACAAGGATGCAAGGGCCTTGGAAGGCCATCTCGAGGCTTCTCGAGAGCGGGGCGCGGCCAGCGAAAGCGGCCAAGGCTGGGCCGAGGAGGCAAGGCTGCAAGGGGTACCCTTGGAGAGGCTGCCCATCCTTACTACGCGGGTTGACTGTAGAGGGCCGAGGGCCGATGATCGAGCATCGAGGCTCAATACACAGAGCAGCCTGCGTCTTCCATCTGCGGCTGGGAGGCAGGGCGGAGGACGAGGAGGCCCTGGAGGAGGAGGACGGGCAAGGGGGGCAGGAGGGGGATAAAGATGACGGGGCGGGGCGAGGAGGAGGGCCGCCGGAGGACGACGAGGGAGGAGGACGAAGAGGGCGGGAGGGGGGCAGAAGGAGGAGGAGGAGGAGGAGGAGGAGGAGGGCATCAACGATGCCTCAATACGCCCTCCCGTCTCAAGCCTTCTCGCAGTTCCCTGCAGCCCTTCCTGCTCGCCGCGTGAAGCGCCACTGACGTACTGACACCCGGCAGGCCTGCCAGTCGGGCGAGAGCTCCGTCCGGAGAAACGCCTCCCTTGGATTCTGTTGGCGAGCGCCCAGGGATGAGAAGGCATACGCTCATAACGTTCCACGAGATGTCGAGCGAGAGCCCCGTCTCGAAGCGGAACCGCCAACACGTGTAACTGTCGCACAGTACTACACACCTGGCCATAACAGAAAGAGCTGTCCTCCATCTGTGCAGCTGTTCAACTTTTCCCAACCATCCCGTGGTGTTGGGTCCTTGCTTTGAAGAGACAGCGTCCCGCGTTCCTTCCTTCCTTCCTTACTCCTCCCACTCCTCCCTTCTCCCATCCCTGATTCTGCCCCTCCGTACTCCGCTCGACCTTATCATCATCATCATCATCATCATCATCATCATCATCATCATCATCATCATCATCATCATCATCATCATCATCATCATCATCATCATCATCATCATCATCATCATCATCATCATCATCATCATCATCATCATCATCATCATCATCATCATCATCATCATCATCATCATCATCATCATCATCATCATCATCGTCATCATCATAGTCATCATCGTCATCATCATCACCTCCATCGTCATCATCACCCTCGTCATCTTCTTTCTCACCATCATCAGCAGCATCATCACCATCTACATCAATAGCAACATCATCATCACCACTACCATCAACAGCATCATCATCATCAGCATAATCATCATCACCATCAACATCACTTTCATCATCAGCAGCACCAACATCATCACCATCATCATCATCAACATCATCATCAACATCATTATCATTATCATTATCATCATCATCATCATCATCATCATCATCATCATCATCATCATCATCATCATCATCATCATCATCATCGCACGACCCAAATGACTGCGTTCGCATGGCAACAATCAACCATGTCGGCACCCCCCTCACATTTTCGTTGTCCCACGAGGAGCTCCACAGAAAACCCAACAAGCAACGCCCGCATGCGCCCGCCGCACCCATTTCGGCACACCCGTCACACGCTCCGTGCACCCAGTAGGGAGCTCCACCAAAAGTCCAAACAACAACGTTCGCACGTGCCCGCCGCACACCCCTCACACGCTCCGTGGCCCCCATCGGGGGCCCCACCGACGGCCCAAAAGGCAGCGCCCGCACGCGCCCGCCGCGCCCAGGTCGGCCCACACCTCCCACGCGTCGTGGCCCCCCATCGGGACGTCCACCCAAGGCCCCAGGAGGGAGCTCCACCGTAGGCACCAACGGCAGCGCCCGCGTGCCGCAGCCGTCCCACTTCGGCACGCCCCGCACACGTTTCGTGGCCCCCTGAGGAGCTCCACCGAAGAGGATGCTCACGACTGCGATGCCCGCAGCTGCATAGTGTTGGGTTCTTCGCCGCGCTAAGTTGCAACTTCGAGTGCTTCAACGTTAGAATCTGTCGCAAACGGGAGCCCACTGTGGAAACGGAGCATCCCTCCATTCTTGTAGTGCGGCGCTAGGGCCAGGCACCCCATTTTGAAAACAAACGCCCTCCATCCTTGCAGTAATCGCAACACTGCAAGACGAATGCAATCGGCACTAAGGCGAGAACCGCATGCTGAAAACGAGCCAGGCACCATCCTTGACGCTGCTCCAAACTTTGAAGGCGAACGCAAGGACGTCTCACGTGAAACGCTTGCCCTGGCCGACGGACACGCCTAGTGTTACGGCAAGGGCGGGCTTTTCATAGGAAAGGAAGGTTGAGGAGGTGAGGGGGATGAGGCTGGGGATATGGGGCAAGGACGTTCGTCTTTTCCACCTTCTCCTTGCCCCCCCCCGCCCTCCTCCCCTGCAATCCTCTCCTCATCCCCGTCCTCACTCTTTCTCCCATCTTCCTCCGTCAAAACACCTCGTCTCTCCTCTTCTTCTTCCCCTCCGCCTCCTCCCGCCCCTCCGCCACATCCCTCTCTTCCCCTTCCTCCTCCTCCTTCTCGCCACCTGGCATGCTGGTTGTCCACCCTTCCCTCCCCGCCCCGGCAAGCGCGTGGGATTCTCGATTCTCTCGGCAAGACCTGGCGTGCTTAACTAGCATGCTGTGGACACTGCAGGCGTTTGTGTCTATGACTGCCCAGAGAAAGAGAAACTGAGAGAGAGAGGAGGAGAACGAGGTAAAGAGAGGGATAGCGAAAGGGAGAGAGGGACAGAAAGAGAGAGAGAGAGAGATATATATATATATATATATATAGAAGAGGAAGGGAGAGGAGGATGAAGAGGAGGCGGGAGAGGAGGAGAAGGAGGAGGGGAGGAAGGATATGTCAACTAGGGTAGGGGGAGGAGGGGGAGGAGGAGGAGGAGGAGGAGGAGGAGGAGGAGGAGGAGAGCGAGGAGAGATGATGATGATGATGATGATGATGATGATGATGATGATGATGATGATGATGATGATGATGATGATGATGATGATGATGATGATGAGGAGGAGGAGGAGGAGGAGGAGGAGGAGGAGGAGGAGGAGGAGGCGAAGGAAGGAGAAGGACGAGGAGGATGGAGGGGCAGGAGGAAGAGGAGGAGGAAGACGGAGACTGGTGTAAACCTCAGACGAATCAACGACACTTGAATACACCATCCTTCTAAGCTCTCTCTCCCACGGAGGGCATTGCCCGGCCGCCAGCGCCCCCCCCACCTCCGCCCAGTTCAGCGCTTCGCGGCCCCATGGAGAGCTCCACCGAAGGCCACACTGGCCGCGGCCGCGTGCTTCTCCCCCACCCATGGCGGGACGCCCCTCGCGCGCTTCGTGGCCCCGGGGAGCTCCACCGGAGACAGTGCCCACCTCGCGGCATTCAGTACTCTGCACACGGCTGGGTCCCCGCAGAGAACATGTCATGAGGGTGCGGTGGCCTCCCTCGCGGCTCCTCCGCTCGGCCGCCGGCGGAGGGGTGGCGCCCCTGATCGCTGCGAGATGGTTGTGTGGCCTGGCCGCCGCGCAGCGGCAGGGTCCACCGACGCCCACACGGGGGGCACAGCGGCGCAAAGAGAAAGAGGGAGGAACCGGATGGGGAGGAGGAGGGGGAGGAGGAGGAGGAGGAGGAGGAGGAGGAGGAGGAGGAGGAGGAGGAGGGGGAGGGGGAGGAGGAGGGGGAGGAGGAGGGGAGGAGGAGGAGGGAGGAGGGAGGAGGAGCAGGAGGAGGGGAGAGGGGAGGAGGAGGAGGAGGAGGAGGAGGCGGAGGAGGACGGGGAGGAGGAGAATGATGGTGGGGTTGGGAGGAGGTTTATCGAAGGCGTTTCAGATGCTCCCAACAATGTGTTCGGGTGTTTCCGAACCCATGGATTTCTTCAGTTTAACACAACTCCGAGTTTGTGTTGCGCGAAGCTGAGTCACTTCATTTTGAAACACTCGTGAGGCTGATCCGAATCAGGACACTTCTCGTTACACAGTGCCCTCCTTGGCCAGAACCTCATGATCATATCTCGGCAATGAGGGAATCAGACTTCCTCGGAGTTCTACGTAGCTTTCAGGATGGAGGCGAAGGAAGGCGTCATAAGCTGGAGGCTTCATGGCACCCCTTCCGTTCTCGAGCCAGGTGTTCAGCATGTGGTACCTCTCGTTCAGACCAGTGAACCAGCCACCTCGGCACATCTTCCTCTTCATATTCCTAACCTTCCTCCTCCTCCTCCGCCTCCTGATACTGCATTTCATCATCTCCATCTGTGACCCATGTTTCGGTCGCCAGGGCCAGCAGCTGCGTTCCCTTCCCTCCCTCTTCTGTTCCTTCTGATCCTCCTTCCCCTCCTCCTTCCCCTCCTCCTCCTCCTGCTCCTCCTCCTCCCTGTCCCCCCTCTCCTCCTCGTACGAACGTATCGAGAAGACGGGCCCGGCATGTGTTCTGGGACTTCTTCACCGCCCATGGCACGTAGCTTCAGCAAAACAACGATCGCAAGGCTGGGAGACGGGTCACTTTCGGGGTGTGGCTCTCGCGTCGGCTCCGCGAGCGTTCGATTCCGAAGCTTGCAACAGCTGCAAGGATTGAGGACCAGGAAGAGCCCGCCTTCGAGGAAGAGGCCCGCGGCCTCCTCGGGAGGAGCAGGAGGAGGAGGAGGAGGAGGAGGAGGAGTAGGAGGAGGAGGAGGAGGAGGAGGAGGAGGAGGAGGAGGAGGGAGGAGGGAGGAGGAGGGAGGAGGAGGAGAAGGAAGAGAAGGAAGAGGAGGAGACCGGCCCGCTTTCGAAAAATGGCTCTCGCCTTCGCGTCCCGTGCACTCGTCTTTGCGTTTCCACATGCCGCAACTAACCAGCCACGAACTTCTCCCTATCCCTCTAGGACTGACAAGCCCAAGTGCGATGGCAGTCTAAGGGATGCGCCTTCAGGAACTGAGGGGATCCTCAAGATCGGCACCCAAATCAAGCGATGCCAAACGTAGGGTATGTTCCAGGCTGTGAACTGGCGATTGAAGCAACCGATTATCAAACGTGTGCTGTCGCCTTATCGCCGTGCACGCTGGTCTTAAAATGCTCCAACCGCTACACGGATAGAGGATGTCTCCTTTTCAGACGGGGCTCTCGCGAGGGACTTCCTGATCCTACTGGCAGCCATACGTGTAAGTATGTGCAGCAATTACAAGGGTGGAGGGCGTTCTTTCCTCACAATGGGGTTCTCGCTTGATACCACCTCACACCTTATGATCCAGTGTTGACTCTTCTACACCACTCATACGGATGCAAGGCTATTCTTTTTGAAAATACCTTGATGGCCTTGGACTTACAGACAAAGCAAAACGGGTAGTCCCTTCTCTAAGGGGGTTCTGTGCGTCGCCTGGACGGCAGGCTCATGGTGCTCCCGCCTTTGAAATGGAACTTATGATGGGGGGATGTTCTGATGGGAGGTTGTGCTGCAACGCCGTTGGTGGATCTTGGGTTTACTCTGGTCCTCCTTTGTCTCCTCCTCCACCTTCTCCGGCCACAAACATCCCTCTCTCCCTTCTCCTCCTCCGCCGCCACCTCCTGCTCCTCTCTCTCCTCCTTCTTCTCCTCATCATTCCCCCTCCTACTCAGCCCCCTTTCCCTCTTCTCCTCCTCCTCCTCCTCCTCCACCCTTTGTCCTTTGGGTAACTCCTCCTGTCGCACCCCAAGACGTGTCGGTAGGGCGGGCATGGCGTTTCGCATGAGATCTCCTCACAACTAATGATCCTGATACAGAGAATTTGCAACAGTTTGCGGATGGAGGGCGGGTGGTTTTCACCAACATGTGTCTCTCGCCCTAGCACCGCGCACACACGTCTTCAAAGTTCTCAACCGTTTCACTGATGGAGGGCGGCTCCTTTTCAACATGTGGCTCTCGCCTAAGCGCCGCGCGCACGCGTCTTCAACGTTTGCAGGCATTTCACGTATGGAGGGCGGTTGAGTCTCAACATGTGGCTCTCGCCTTAGCCTTGGACACATTCGTTTTAAACGTCTGCAAGAACTTAGCGGGTTGACGGCGAATGGTTTCCATCATGTGGTTCTCGCCTTAGCGCCGTGCGCATGTGTTGCAACAAAGTTGCAACCACTTCACGGATGGATGGCGGGTGGTTTTCAACATGCGGTTCCCACCTTAGCGCAGCAGACATTCGTCTTAGCACATTGCAAGGGTTTCACGGCTGGAGGGCGACTTTCGTTCAAATTGTGGCTATCGATCTTAGCCGCGCACACTCGTTTTAACATGTTACACTAACTTCACATATTCTTGTGGTTGACGTTCCAGGAACGGTGTTCCAAAACGATTCAGGATTGGCAGAGCGCAGCAGTCACGTTGATTCGCGGGGATGGCTTCCAATAGCAAACAATGCCCTGGCACGATTCGAGATCGTCAGGGGTGGATCGGCGGCGTTGAAGTCGCATTTGGTTTGGAGGATCTTCGGACGGTCGTCTTCCAACGGGACACTTCCCGCAATGAACAGGACTTCTCGTAGGGGCCAGTGCAGAAGAAACTCGGAGGGAACGTCTACTGCAGCATCGTTGATGCGTCTCGGGCCTGCACGGGTCCTCGAGGAGGAGGAGGAGGAGGAGAAGGAGGAGGAGGAGGAGGAGGAGGAGGAGAAGGGGGAGGAGGAGGGGGACGGGGAGGGGAGGAGGAGGAGGAGGGAGGATGAGGAGGAGTGAGGAGGAGAGGAGGAAGGGAGGAGGAGGATGAGGATGAGGGACGTTTTCTGCAGCATCGTTGATCCCCGGGCCTGCACGGGTCCTCCACCTCCCCGGTCTATTTCTTCCTCCGCGAGCCCGCGGCGGGCGCCCAGACACAGCGCCGCCCGAGGCTGCCCCCCCCCCCCCCCCCCGCCCCCCCCCCACCCATGCCCCTGCCCGTCCGGGCGGCGCGGGGCCCTCCGACCGTGGCCCCTCCTTGTCGCTCGCTCGCGTGTCCTCCTCTTGCTCTTCTGCGCGGGCGATGGCGACGACGATGATGGAGACGAGGGCGTCGACGTCATCACTGCCCTCTCTCTCTCTCTCTCTCCTCCTCGTTGTCGGCGCCCGCCTCCGCCACCTACTCCGCCATCACCTCCTCCGCCTCCCCTTCCTCCTCCCCTCCTCCTCCTCCTCCTCCTCCTCCTCCTCCTCCTTCTCTTCCCTTCTTGCTTTCTCCCTCGTTCTTGCCCCGCCCCTCCTCCCTCTCCCGTCCTCCGCGTCCACCTGCGCCTCGCCTCTCCTCCCCGTCGCGGGCGCGAGGTCTGGCGCTGGGGGGTCCAGCGCCGGCAGGGGAACAGGCCGGGGAGCAGGACGGGTGGAGCCCTGCCACGCGCCCGCTGTGCTGACGTGTCTTGAAAAGAGGCGGGCCGTCCTGGCATTCCTATAGGCCTATCGCTACACGCTCTTAGAACAACAAATGCTCGAATAGCCAAAACAATGTTCTTAGAACGTAGAGCCGACGTATGAAAGCAAGATGGTGTCTCGGCCAGAGGGGTTCTAAGAACAGTTCGCGCAAGCCGCAAAACGTCATTATGACTTTGGTGGGCCTCTACGGAGGCAGGACGCTTCGCCACTGCCCGAGTGTTGCTGATGGGGATGCGATTCTTGGTGGGCCTACTTTTCACTATCACGACTACAGACCGTGGGCGACTGTCCGATGGTGGTGCGTGGGTCGAGGCGCCAGCTGCGCCCAGCAAAGCACTACCATAGGTCAGCCGCCCACTGTGTATAATTGTGGCGGTTGCGGTGAAACAAAGGGCTTCTGGATTTTCGTACACCACCCCCGTAGGCAAGCTGGTCTGACACAAGACCGTGGCACTGGGGCTGTCTACAAACATAGCAGCCACTGGGGATGCGGTTTATGCAGGCCCCCTCCACAAGCAAACTGGTTTGGCACGAGACCGTGGAACCGGGGCCATGGACAACATCCCCTGGGGACGCGACTTTAGTACACCACCGCCCCCACAAGCAAGCTGGTCCGGCACAAGGGACGCGTGCGGGACCGGTGACTATAAATCGGCCCCCGGCTTGCTGCTACATGCTCGATTTTTTTTGACAAGCGCCCTGAACCCGAGCCAGCTCGGATTGAGTAAAGAAAAGGAACTCGGACAAGCTTACCCGCCAGGTGCAGGTCAGTCCGAGCTGTCTGAAAGGGGTGGCTGGTCTGGGGCGTGATCACCCTCCTCCCGAAGCGGTCTGCGGGCCTGATCAGACCCGACAGGCTCGGCCCGATCGCCAGCCTCAGGATCACTCGCTTCAGCAGCAGGGTCGATGCTACATGCTCGATGGTCTGGAACCTTTGGACAGCGTGTCGCTGCGGCGGCCCCGGCCATACGCGATGCCTTGCGAGCGGATGGCGTGCCGCTCCGCTCCGCGAGGCGGGAGGCCTGGGCAAGCTGGGAACGCTGACGCCTCGGGGCCGTGGAGCGGAGAGCGTGCCGCACCGAGGCGCGGCGGGGGCCAGAACGGGCAGAACGACAGGCTGCCCATCGGTTCCTGACCGTACACGTCGGTCGGAAGAAGTAGGTAGAAACATGAAGTAGGAAGGCGGATATAGTAGATTGGGTCCAGGTCCTCCCAGAGAATAACAAAACACAGCAAACGCATGTCGATTCTTGAAGTAGGAAGGCGCTTGACGTAGATTGGGATCTGGGAATCCAGAGATGCGTACTTTCAACGACCGGCGTGTATGCTGCTGACGTGCACAAGTGCGCGTGCCCGAGGGCGCACGGAGAGCGCACGAGCAGCGCGCACAGGCTCGAGAAGCGAAGCGCGCTCGGGCGACCCTCGCGGGGCCCCTCCCGACGTGAGGTGACCGGGGGAGGCCAAGCCGAGCACCACTCGGACCTGGGCTCGGGATTGACGAGCGCGCCGATTGTCCCGCTGGGAACCCATCGTTCGGAAGAAGTGGGCGGACACCTCCTCGTCCTTCCCGACTTCCTCCTGCTTTCGATATCCTGCGGCAATCCTGCGGTTCCTTCTCCTCCTCCTCCTCCTCCTCCTCCTCCTCCTCCTCCTCCTCCTCGTCGTTCTCCCCTTCCTCCTCCATATCCTCCACCTTCTCCTCCTCCTCCTCCTCCTCCTCCTCCTCCTCCTCCTCTCCGACCTCGTCCTCCTCTCCGACCTCGTCCTCCTCTCCGACCTCGTCCTCCTCGTGCGGAGGGTGGTCGGCCACATGACCCAGGGACCCCCCCGCCGCGCCCTGGGCCGTGGACCCCCCCAATGGCCACCCCGGCGGTGCGCGAAACTCGCGGCCACCTCGGCCGCCCCCCTGGCCGCCGCTCTCTGGGCGGGGGGCACCTCCGCGGCCCGGGCGGGGAGGCGCGGAGTGCGGAGGGCCTCTGGCTCCGTGCCCCCCCTGCGGGTGGCCCGGAACCCTGGCCGCAAGACGTGTCGGGTGCTGCCAGGAGTGCCCCTGGTCCAAGGTGCCCGGGAGCCTCTTGGATGCAGCCTCGGGGCGTCAGAGGGGCCTCGCGAGGGCCCCTCGGGGGCCCCCTGGAAGTGGGGCTTCCCGGGTGCCTCCTGGGGCTTCTTGGGTGCCTCCCGGGGCTTCTTGGCAGGATGCCCGAGGCGGCCCCCACGGGCTCCAGAGCATCCCGCACGAGGCCCACAGGGCCCCGAGGGGGCTCCAACATGGAGCGACAAGCTGTTGGCCCCCTGGGCCAGGGGCACCTCCAGCAGCCCCCGAAGGTGAGGCGAGACGGCGGCAGCAGACCGGCTCAGTGACCCCCCCCCCTGGGCCGCCCAGCTTCGGCATGAGCCAGGAGATCTCCGCCCCGCTGGGGTCGTTCGTCCTGTGCGCGTGCGCGCGCGGGGGGTGGGAAGCGGAAGAGAAGGGGGAGGTGTGCGCAGGGGTCCACATGATCCTCTTTCTCCTCTTCCTTTTCCTCCTGGTCCTCCTGTTACTCTTCCTCCACCTGGCCCTCTTTCTCCTCTTGCTGCTGCTCCTCCTTTTCCTCCTCTTCCTTCCTTCTCCTCCTCCTCCTCCTCCTCCTCCTCCTCCTCCTCCTCCTCCTCCTCCTCCTCCTCCTCCCCCTTCTCTTCCTCCTCCTCCTCCTCCACCTCCATCTCTCCTCCTACGAATTTATCCTCCATGTCGAAGTTCCCAGACGTGTCAGTAGAGCGGGCTGGGCGATTCGCCTGAGACGTCCTCGCCATTGATGATCCTGGAGCTGGAAGTTTGCACAAACTTCTCGGACGGAGAGTGGGTCGTTTCCAAACTGTGGCTCTCGCCTTGGCGCCGCGCACATCCGTCTTCAAAGTTCGCAATCGTTTCACGGATGGAGGGGGCGGCCTTCAAAATCCGACGGCAACCAAGGAAAACTTCGCGTACCATATTGCTGGCTCTTGCGCATCGACGCTGATCGGCGCCATCCGACGCTAAACGACACTAGCTCACCGGCTCCCAAACGCTGGCCGCCGGGAGTACACTCTCAAGACGGAATTGGAAAGAGGCCCAAGGTCCAATGATTTGCCGCAGGAATGTCATAGTGTGACTCTCGCCTTGGCGCCACGCGCATTCGTCGTAAAAGTTTGCATCGGCTTCAAGGGTGAACGGCGGTTCCTTGTCAAAATGTGGCTATCCCTTTAGCGGCCCAAGCATTCGACGTAAACGGTTGCGACATCTTCAAGGATGGAAGTCGGACCCTTTTCAAAATGTGGCTCTCGCTTTGGCGCCGCGCAATTTCGACGCAAAACTTTGCAACATGTTCAAATATGCTTTGACACGAGGATTCTCAGACTCTTCTAGAGGTCAATTTCCACCAATGACAATCAATTCCTTTAGGGACCTGTGAAGAGGGAGCTAAGAAGGAGGATCTATTGCAACACTGCTCATGCGTCTTGAATGTGCACTGGTCCCTCCTTCTCCTCTTCCTCTTCCTCCTCCTCCTCCTCCTCCTCCTCCTCCTCCTCCTCCTCTTCCTCCTCTCTCTTTCCTCGGTCGCCGAAGTTGCCCCTCAGAATTCACGAAGAACCGACAACGGTTGCCGGTACCAACAGATGACGGCTGGTTTCGGATTCGGCTGGTTTCGGATTCGGATTGCTCTCTTCCGTAATTCCACTGCCCCCCCTCTCTACTTCCCCCTATTTCTGCTTATGCCTCATACTTCCTCCTCCTCCTCCTCTTTGCTCCTCCTCCTCCTCCTGCTCCTGCTCCTGCTTCAGCTCCGCCTTCTCCTCCTGCTCCTCCTCGCTTTTGTTCCTTCTCCTCGTTCTCCTCGTCGTCCTCCTCCTCCTCCTCCTCCACCTCCTCCTCCTCCTCCTCCACCACCTCCTCCTCCTCCTCCTCCTCCTCCTCCTCCTCCTCCTCCTCCTCCTCCTCCTCCTCCTCTTGCTCCTCATACTACCATTCCCACCACCCCTCCCCCCCTGCATGGCGAGTCCCATGGCTGTCACAGAGCGCCGGGACTGCGGGTGAGGCGGCCGGGCCCCTGGCCTCCACCTGGCTCGTTCCACGCCGCGTTCCTCCTTGTTTTCCAGGGCGACACAGACGACTTTCCAGAGTTCGTCGGCGTCGTCGTCGTCGTCCTCCTCCTCCTCCTCGTCGTCGTGATCGTCCTCCTCCATTTTTTTTCGCGAGCGTGCCGCCTCGTGTCTGTCGACCCTCGCGGGCCCTCTGTGGCAGACCGGAGGAGACTCGCGAACACAAGATGCTCCTCTTCCAGCGGCCTGCCGACGACTCAGCGAAACCCCGCCGCCTGCCCGAGGGCAGGTCGCTCAAGGCGGCGATGGACGTCCACTGGCGCCGCGCTCCGATTTGGCCCCACTGCCGGGCGGGGGGGGGTTGTCGTGAGCGCGCGAATGTGGATTAGCGATCCATGGATTTGGCGCGCGGTCGCCAAATCCATGGGCACCTCCCCAAAAAGCGGCCGGTGCCGCCCCGTTCGGCGGCGGAAAGCCGCGATCTCCCATGGAAACGGGGCCCGTCGCTAATCCACGCCCTCTTGATCCGTGTTTGCGATCACCTGAGGTTGGCCAGCAGCGCAGGTCTACTCCAGATTTCGTAACAAAAGGGAGGGGGTCTCAACCCTCCCAGACGAGAAGTTTTAGACCCCCCCCCGTGGGGGAACCCTCCAAAACGTCGTCCCCAGACCCCCCCCAGGCCCTCCAAGATAGCCTGGAAGAGACCCCCCCCGAAATGAGACCCCCCTCCCTTTGTTACGAAATCTGGAGTGCATCCACCTGCCCCCGTTCCCAGCCACCCCTCCTGCAGGGCGAAGGGCAGCCCAGCGCGGAGCTCCGGAGGAGGCGCCCTCGCCTATCGGCCCTGGCTCCTTCCATGCCGCGCGCTTCATTTGTTGCTGTCCTTGTTGCTGCTGCTGCTGCTGTTGTCGTTGTTGTTGTTGCTGCTGCTGCTGTTGTTGCTGTTGTTGTTGTTGTTGTTGCTGTTGGTGTTGTTGTTGTTGTTGCTGTTGCTGTTGTTGGCAAATTCTCACTACGGAAGGATAATTATCGTTGATCCCCCCTCCGGTGACCATTTGTGCTTTTTCAATTGAAGTGCTTCCCCCGGGGCTCGCACCTTGTTCTTAATCAGGGAAAGTCACGGGGCTCAAACTGGGCCCCTGGCCCCCGGTTCTTCCTCACAATTCTCATGTACGCATCGCGCTTTCGCGTGGGACATCCTCGCAATTTATTCAGACGATGCGCCCTCGGCACTCAGGAATCACGCTATCGCTTTGGCTTTTCTCACGATTTACTTGGGAATCGCGCTATCGCTCGAGGCTTCCTCGCGGTTCACGCAGGACCCACGCTTCAGCAACCCGCCTGTTCGACCTGGTCGCCTGGGCCCACCTTCCCGACCTGCCTGCTATGGGTCTGCCCACTCGCTCTGCCCGTCTGGTTTTACCACTTGTTTTCTGCTCCTTACCCCCCTCCTGCTAATTTCTCTCGTGTTCCATTCTGCTCCCTCTTCCTTCCACCCGTTGTCTCTTCCCTTGTTTGAGTGGCTGCACTGAATGCACGTGGCAAGTAAGGAAGGTAAGTAGACAGGAGCAGGCAGTCGTAAACTTATTGTTGTTGTTGTGGTTGTTGATGTTGGTGTTGTTGTGGTTGTGGTTGTGGTTGTGGTTGTTGTTGTTGTTGTTGTTGTTGTTGCTGTTGTTGTTGTTGTTATTGTTGTTGTCGTTATTGTTAGTGTTAGTGTTAGTGTTAGTGTTAGTGTTAGTGTTGTTGTTGTTGTTGTTGTTGTTGTTGTTGTTGTTGTTGTTGTTGTTGTTGTTAGTGGTGTTGTTGATGATGTTGTTGTTCGTGATCTTGTTGTCGTTGTCGTTGTCGTCGTCGTGGTCGTTGTCGTTGTAGTCGTCGTCGTGGTTGTTATTATTGTTGTTTTCTCCTGGGAAGACAAGAAACAACACAACAACAAGAGTTCGTCGGAAGACCGGCAAGCCACGAAAGCAAGGCCCCCCCCCCTGGCCCCAGAAGAGGCGGCGGAAGAGGAAGAGCAGCCCGCGGGGGGACCCTGGGGGGGCAGGAGGGGCGAGGCGAGAGGGAAGGAGGCGGCGGAAGAGGCGGGGGGGAGAGCGGAGACGAGTGGATGGGCTGCGGGGGAGGGTGCGGAGGAGGGGAAATTGCGACACACGGAAAAGGAATGATGACCAGGAGGACGATGTTTGTGCTCCTCCGGCGGATGCCCGCGCCGACATAAGAAAATGTAGGAGACAGCAGGGCACATGAGCAGGATGATCCTGAGGTGATACGGGAGGGAGGTGGAGGATCAGTATCACTTACCCACAAAGCCCCTCCCCAACCCCCACAAAGACATCGAACACAACCGCATGCATGATTGTAACACTTCCTTCCTGCTGCTGCTGCTGGTCTTCCTCCTCCTCCTCCTCCTCCTCCTCCGCCTCCTCCTTTTCCCAAAATTTCCGACGTCGCGTTTTCTTTTGGGGCGTGAATCCCCAGAACTTTCGGCCGAATCCCAAGGACATGTTCTTCTCTCGCATCTGTACATCACCCCACCCTCCCGCGGTGCTGCGACCTCGGCTTCCATGTTCAGCGCCGCGCCGCCTTCCCTCCCCGCCTCACGTCCTCTCCCTCCTCCTTCCCCCGTTTTCCTGTCTTCGCCCCGTGCGGCGCATTCCTCACACGACGGTAGACGCGAATTTCGGCACACCGCTCACACGGATCCTGCCCCAAAGGAAACTCCACTTACGGCGCCGGTGACGGCGCCCGCGCAGCGTCACTCCGCCACTTTCTGGCGAACCGCTCGCGCGGATCGTGCCGCGCAAGTTCCGCACGGCGACGCTCCGCCCCGCACGGCGACACTCCGCCCCTATTGGCACACCCCTCATGCGGGTCGTGCCCCGATTAGGAGCTGCACCTATGGTCCCAGCGCGGGCGCCTGCATAGCGTCACCTACGCCCCTTTCGAGACACCCCACACGCGGATCGTGTCATACAGGGAACTCCACTTATAACCCGACAGGGATAATTCGCATTGCGTGCTCCTGTAGATTTCGGTACACCACTCATGCGGATCGCGCTCCTGTATGGAGACCCTACTTCATCGCCCCCTTCCGCGACGTCCGCGGCGCACGGTACGTGAGGAGAAGGCGACTCCCGGCGGCACAATGAACTGTATGATCCTGGGCCCGGGTCCCGGCAGCGGCCCTGGACGCCGAAACAAAAAACAATAAACACGCCAGCGGTGTTTCTTCCGCGACGCATTCAAGGGGGCCCAACGCTTCACAAACCGTTGATTCTGGCCGGACCAATCCTGGGCCTGCGGTGCACACCATCCCTGGGCCCAGGCTAGACCTGGCCAGGATCGGTGTCACTGTATAGTTGGTTGAA